TGCCTCGTGCACGTCTTCCTCGCCGGGTCGGCGATGGGACTCGCCCGGGAGGACTCGCACTCGGGCTACCGCGCCGCCCTGCTCGACGACCTGCGGAGCGCGCCCGTAGCCACACAGCCTCGTGCCGCCCTGTGCGTGCCACACGCCGATGGCCACGCCCGTGGCGCCGGCCGCCATACCCGAATCACGTACAGTGAGAGATGTGTCCTGCCCGAGAGTCGAGAGACCGTGGTCCGGCTGTTCCGGACGTCCCTCCTGTTGGGTCCCTTCTCAGCATGGTGCTCTCGCACAGGCGCGTCCCGCGCGGCGACAGCGTCGTGCTCAAGTTTGGGCAGGCTGGAGAGTTGTGGCGCCGTGCGCCCTCGGCCGGGGCGCGTCGCAGACACGTCGTGGGCGCTGCGCGCAGGTGGATTGCGACTTTGTGTACTACCTCAAGCTCGTCCACGACGCATCGCTGACCTTTGAGGCGCACCTCGCGCGCTCGGTCGAGCGCTACTTTGCATTCATCGACGGCGCGCTGGCGGCGGGCCACTTGCGGCACGAGGAGCGACAGCGCCTGAGGCGCCCCGTTCTCCGAGATCCCCTCTCCCCCGCCTCCCGACCGCCGCCCTACGTTGGTGCGCGTCAGGACCTGTACATCGCCACGCCCTTCCCGACGGGCGTGGTGGACGCCCACCTGCGGGAGGCGCTCTGCTCGCTGCCGCTCATGGCAAAGGCGGAGCGAGAGGCGTTCCGCAGAGCGCTCGACGACCACCTCTTCCTCCCCACCGAGGCTGAGCGCGTCGCCCACGGGCGCGCCTACTCCGCCGCGCTCGCCGCCGCCGCGCGCGCGCGCGGCCTGCCGCTCATCGACACGTTCAGCCCGCTGCTCGGCGCCGACGGCCTCTGCCGCGTGAAGTGCGTCGGCGCCAACCACCACCTGCCGCCAGCCGCGGAGCCGTTTGCCGCCGCGGCGCTCGCGCGCCACTGTCTCGGCCGGAGCGATGGCGACGCGGAGCCGCCTCCGGGGGACCCTGCCGGCGCTCTCGCCGACCCCGCCGGGGGGGGCGAGGCGGTGTCGCCGGCGGGCGGCTTGCAGGAATCGGAGCCGGGGGGCGGCGGCGCGGCCGCCGGCGACGCCGCGACGCGGGCGGGGGAGGCGGAGGGGGAGGGCGGCCACGACAGGTCGGCGCCGGCGCCAGAGGCTGCTGGCACGGCGGGGGATGGGCTCTCCGCGGTCGCGGTCGACTGGATCCTCGCTTGCGCGGCCTCTGCCCCCGGCGGCGCGGCGGCGCTGCGCGCGCTGGCCGCATCGTAGGAGCCCCTCTCTCGGAACCTTCTCGGAAGCTTCTAGGCGCGGCGCCGCTGCGCGCTCGCGGCCACGTGCTGGCGAGCTGGCGCCACTTGGCGGCGCTGCTCGGCGCGCCCGCTGCGTTGGGGCGCGAGTTTGCGACCCAGGGGCCCCACCACGCGCAGTGGGTCGTGCGGCTCCTCCGCGGCTGCGACGCGCCAGTGGCGGTGGGGGCGCGAGGCCCCGGAGCGGGCGAGTTCTCCCGTTTGAGGCTGCGGCCGGATCCGCGGCGTAGGTGCTCGTGCGCGGCCGCTTCTCCGAGCACCGCGCCGAGAGGAGGTACGCGTGGGCCGTGGAGTCGACGGAGGCTACGGCGCCGGCGCGGCTCCAGCGCGCGATCGACTCGAGCGAGGGCGAGGCGGCGGGCGCGGCGGTCGCCAAGACGGGAGAGGCTGACGCGGCCACGGCCGCGGCGATGGAGAGGCTGCGGCGGTCGGTGGGCGTCGAGGCGCCGCCCCGCGTGCGAGGGCTGACGGTGCCGCAGCTGATGCGGACGCCCGTCGCGGGCGCACTCGTGGCGGCAGCGAGGCAGGCGCAGGAAGCGAGAGGGGAGGGATGAGCATTGGCCCGCTCAGGAGGACAGGACTGATAATACGGCTTTGCCCCGCGCGCCCCTTCCAGCGCCCAGGAGGTGCAGGGCCAGGGGGGGGGGAGTCAAAAATGCACTCTGTGTGTCCCACTCCCAGGTGTGTGTCAGGTGTCACAAACACACATCCGGTCTTGGTAACAAACCTCGGTGATTCCATGTGCCCGTTACGGATCTCACGCACTTACACACTCATGTACACCATCGGTACAGGTCACACAGCGACGCGATCTGAGCGAATGTGGCAGATCCTCCTCTGTGGACGGAGCTCGCGCAGGCCCCAGCCTGCAGCCCCCACCCCCGGGCGACAGACGGCACACCTCGCTCACCCCCCCCCCCCCTCCTCCCCATCAAACACTTTACACACCGGCGACAGATGACGTCCCGCCCCCTGCACACGCATGCTTCTCCCCTCTCCCCGCCCACCTCTGTCCTAGCAGAGCGTCACTACACGCCAGTTTTGGCACGCACCGAGCCTTGCGGTCCGCCGACCTTGTCGGCGTAGCGCATCGCCTCACGCCGCGAGAAAGGCGGCGCGAAGCCTGGCCTCCTCCCGTGCCGCACCCTCGCGCGCCCGGCGCTCTGCCCGCCACCGCACCTCCGCTGCGTCTTCCTTTGCCTTTTTCGCGCGCGTCGCCCGCTCGGCATCGAGGAGCTGGCCGGCCAGCTCCGCCCTGCGCTTCTTCGCCTCGCACGCCGCGCACGCCGCGTTGTAGCCCGCGTCGCGAGACTGGATGTGCGCCGCGAGCAGCGCGTCGTACCTCTCGCCCGTCGCCTCCTCGGAGGAGATCTGCTGCTTGAATGTCTCCTCGTCGGCCCGCCGCTTCCGCTCCAGCTTCTTGAGCGCCGCCTCAGCGTCACGCGCCTCCTGGAGCAGCCGCGTGACGTCGTCCTCGCAGACGAGGGGCGCCGCACTAGCCGGGTCGCTGCCAAGCTTGATTTCCCTCGCGACGCTGTCCTCCCATCCCGGAATCGTGATGCTGCCGGCAGTGTCTCCGACGCCGACGGCAGTGGCGGACGCTGGCGCGGCGGCCTGCTGCAGAGAGTGCTGAACGCGCGCGAGCGGCCGCGTAGAAGAGGCGGGCTGCAGAGAGTGATGAACGCGCGCGAGCGGCCGCGTAGAAGAGGCGGGCAGCGCAGTGAGGTCCTGTTTACGGCCAACCCTCCCTCGTGGCCGAGTAGATGTCGTCCGGCTTTCCCGAGACGAGTCGTCCTCCCAGCCGGGGAGCGTCACGCGGGACATCTTTTCGCCCGAGTGGTGGAGCTGCATCAGCGGAGAGTGAAGCCGGGTCAGCGCCAGCCCGAGCGAAACCAGCAAGACGATCATCGCCCGTGTCGAAGCTGATGGGCGCCGGGAGCTCAAGTGAGCTCGCGCAATTCTTTTTCACTCCTTGCTCTTGACCATGAACCTAGTCCGCGCCCTCGGCTGCACTTACGCCGCTGCCTTCCTCTTCCTCCGCCTCGGCCAAACCTACCACCTCCTCCGCACCCACGGTCTCCTCGTCCTCGTCCTCGTGGCCACTCTCCTCTACCACCGCCCGCCGCTGTCCATCCTCGCGCTCCCTGCCGCCATGGTCGCCTGCGTGCTCCAGTGGGACGTGCTCGCTCCCCAAGCACTGACCAACGGCCTGGCTGCCGAGAGAGGCTTGACCGTCGTCGTCACCGGCGCCAACAGCGGGCTCGGACTCGCGTCGGCTCAAGTGAGGTCAACGCAAAATTCTTCTCACTCGCCTAAATGGACGGCCGTACTTTGCGCGTGCGCGCGGCCTGACATGCGCGCGATGACCTCGCCCGAGCAACCAGCCGACAGTGGGCCTGCCCAGCCTTCTTCTGAGCCATCCCCAGAGACTCCCTCCGCTGCCGTCGGCCCCGCAGTCCCGGCCGACATGCCCGCCGCATGGCCTGCGCACACGCCACAAACGCCAGTTCAACAAGCCGCAGGTTTGGCAGCTCTGGGCGGGAGTCAGCCGGGCTCGCTGCCAGCTCCCACCACGAACTTGCCACCACCGTCAGCCCCTGCCGCTCTCTCCACCAGCACCATCGCTCCCGGCGCCTCCAACCCATCCTTCAACCAATGCAGCGACAACCACACGAGCTCCATCCTGCATCCTGCTGCTGATGCACCAACCACCACCGCCCTTGCTGTCAACTGCTCATCTCTTACTGCTGGACACGCTACTCCATTCCTTTGCGAGCCACCTCCTCGTGCCGCAGCGCCTGAACCGTCCACGTCCACTGAATGCTCCTCGCAGTCCAACCTGCAGACGCAGTTGCCACCTGATTGGCGCCATCTGGCTGCCTCTTCAACTCTCAACCCTGGAGCTGCGCCATTCCAGCCGACCTTCCCTCAGAGCCCCCAACACCGACCCCGCGGCCCCAACTTCACCGCCGGCTGCCCACTCTGGTGTACCAACTGCGTGCAACGCTTCTCTTCCAGAGCACAACTTTGGGATCATCTCAAACACTGCCGGCCAACAGCCACACGCCCCCTCGCTACCACTTTGAAGCGGAAACGAGACAACCCCTCTCCCGCCCTGGGACCTGCACCACTGCCCGTTCTCACCTATGCAGACGCTGCCACCGCCCCCCCCGCCAAACGCCACCAATCCATCCACAACAGCGCCAGTGGAACCACAATCCC